CTAGGAGCTCGGGAGATAAGGGGGATTGAACTGAAAGAATGGGCGCTTTGACCTCGCCCGAGCTTACCTCTTCTTTGCCTCTGAGCTCGGGTAGGTCGTGGGTAGCAGATCGGCGAGCTTGGCGGCGGCACCTCTACTTCCTGGCGGGCTCAGCATTCGTGCTGCTCACTTTTGTACTGTCAGGAATGGTATGTGCAGGAAGTAGCTCGGGTCGCTGGTGATGGCTTCGGACAGAGGGCTCCTTCTTGAAACCTGCGGCTAGGACTTCGAATCGGTTTTCCATGAACGGAGTACCAGGCTTTGAGGGCTGAGGCGACGTGGGCCTGGCGAGCTGAGGTCCTCTCGACCTGACTGCCCGTGGCGAGGTCGGGATGGCTGGTCTTTCTTGTTTGCCGTGGGTGAAGGCTTGGCTCCTTGGAGGGTTCTGAGGGCCTCTCCTTGGTGAGATGGGTGCTCCTCCTATTGGCGAGACCTAGCTCGCGGTGAGACTGGGTACCGAGGGGGAAGTTGTGATTGCTGAGGCTGAGGTTGAGGTAACCGGGGAAACTGCTGCTGATACTGATATTGGGAGACCTGGTGCAGCATGTGTTGTTGATAGAGCTGAAGTTGCCGGAACTGTTGCATTTGGGCTGCATGGCCCGCATGCACTGCATCAACTCCTCCAGTTGGTTCGGCTAGCCGCTGGGGGCACGACCGAAGGTTCGGTGAACGTCGCTCCGACTATAGCAGGGAGTGGCGCGACAACAGGTGCCACTGCAAGAGGCACATTCAAGCTGGGGATTCCGTCCGCCGAGAGGGGGACAGTGAACTGTCTGATATAGACAGTAGGAAGCTGGGGTTGTTCCCTGGAGTTATTCATTTCCGTGCTTCGTCCGACGTTGCTAGAGGAAGCCATGAGTGTTGAGTTTCTGAAGAGTAAAGAGATGTGAAAGTTTAGAGAAAGGCTTTTCGAAGTGTTTCCCACAGACGGCGCCAAATGATGTAGCGCGATCCGGGCACTCCTAGCTAGCACTCACGCGACTCTTGAGGGGTACCTGAGACGAGAAGGAAGAAGAACTCCTGGGGGGTTTGCCCGGCGGGAACACTCCGATGATTAAGTCAATATTCTGTGTGAGAAGCAAAGGGAAAACGAAGGCTAAGAGTGCAAATTTCGTAGGTGGTTCAAAGATACCTTGTTCCTTGAGAATCAGCTTCTTATTACAGAATCTGTTGCTTCAGGCCCTCTAGCTTCTGACAGGGCAGGTATAACCGCCACTATCAGTCTGCCACAGCCGTTATAGGCAAGGCTGAGGTGGCACGTGCGGGGTCGCCGTTGCAGGGTACGTGCCTGTCAGGTGCGAGACACCTTCTAAAGATGACAGGCGCAATGCTATCTGACGAGGGACATGGCTGTTGTCCCTAGATTTGTCGGGTACGGTGGTCAAGCAGGAGGCCTTCCTGTGGTATACCAAACTATCCTTCCGCGAATTACCTTGTGCAAGGCTGTCTCATGAGTGACGAGCTGCTTGTAGCAAGTTATGCCGAGCTAGCTGACCCGAGGTGTCTAAGCCTCGGGTGTTCAGAGATGGATCGGTGCATCCCTATCTGGGAGTGGCCCGAAGTCCGCTGGGAGGAGCTCGGGCCTCAAGAGAGGTCAGGGTGCCCCGAACTCGGGGTGCCCCGAAGTGCCTTAACCCGGGGAGGAGATGCGGGTAAGGCGGCTTCCGGCGAGTAGCTTATCCGCCCAGTCGCCGAGCTGAACTCGGTGGGACCTTCCCTCCGAGTTGTGGTCACGTCCGTTGCGCTGTCATGCTGAGTCACTGTTTGAGCAAGGTCATGCCCACGTGTACCCGTGCTGCGTGGTCGGGCCAAATCACCTTCCATCAGTTATCTTTATGACATGTTATATTGATGGTTTGATACTATACAGTTATCCTTATAACAAGTTATATTGATAGTTTGATAACTATACAATTATCTTTTATTGCATGTTATATTGATGGTTTGATAACTATACAATTATCTTTATGACAAGTTATATTAATGGTTTGATAACTATACAGTTATCTTTATGACAAGTTATATTAATGGTTTGATAACTATACAGTTATCTTATAATAGGTTATATCAATGGTTTGATAACCATCCAATTATTTTATAGCAGGTTATATAATACACCATTGTGATAGGTATTATATAACTTCGATTTTCTCTATAAGTCGTTGCGATAGGTACTCTGTAACAATGGTTTTCTCTATAAACCGTTGCGATACGTATTCTGTAGCAACGGTTTTCTATATAAATCGTTGCGATAGGTGTTCTGTAACCATGACTTTCTCTATAAACCGTTGCGATAGACATTTTGTAGCAACGATTTTCTCTATAAACCGTTGCGATAGGCATTCTGTAACAATGGTTTTTCTATAAACCATTGTGATAGACATTTTCTAGCAACGATTATCTTTATAAACTGTTGCCATAAACATTTTCTATCTATGGTTTTCTCTATAAATCGTTGCGATAGACATTTTCTAGCTACGATTTTCTCTATAAACCGTTGCAATAAACATTTTCTAGCTAAGATTTTAATGAAAAACTATTGCAATTGACATTTTCTAGTTACGATTTTAATGAAAAACCATTGTCAAATCGTTGCGATAGACATTTTCTAGCTACGGTTTTTATGAAAAACCGTTGCGATAGACATTTTCTAGCTATGGTTTTTATGAAAACCATTGCGATAGACATTTTCTAGCTACGGTTTTCTCTATAAACCGTCGTGATAGACATTTTCTAGTTATAGTTTTCATGAAAAACCGTTGCGATTAACATTTTCTAGCTACGATTTTAATGAAAAACTGTTGCGGTAGACATTTTCTAGCTACAATTTTTATGACAAACTATTGCGATAGATATTCTTTAGTTATAGTTTTCATGAAAAACTGTTGCAATAGACATTCTCTAGCTACGGTTTTCATGAAAAATCGTTACAATAAAAGGACTAATTTTCTTTTTAAAAATGTTTTTAGCTACGGTTTTCATGAAAAACTGTTGCAATAAAAGGACTAATTTTCTTTTTAAAAATGTTTTTAGATATGGTTTCATCCATTGCTATAGGTACTTTTTCAACGGTTTTTGTAATGTTATAACAACTGACAATGTTTGTTGCTAAATGATAGCTCTAGCAACAGTTTTCTGAAACCGTTGTGAGAACCTATCGCCACAGTGGAAGAGGCATCGATTTTGTGTCTGTTGCTAGAAGTCTCTAGCAATGGTTTTTGGTACTTCTAACAATGGTTTTGTCCATTGCTAGAAATCAATTTTCCTGTAGTGGTTTGTTGTGATTCTGTTTCAATGACACATAGGTGTCACATAAACAATTATATTTACATCTTGTTTGGTAGGTTTGTCAAATACAAACGTCTTGTACGTTTAATACCAAGGGGAGGTCAAGACCTTTTCAAAAAACATGATAAATTGTAACAAAAGGGGTGTATAGGTGCAAAGACCACCTAAGGAAGATGTGCAAAGACCATCCAGCCCAGGTACCATGAGTTTGAGTGGGGGAGATCCACAATCAACCTCTACAAAGGAGAAACCAGTGCCCGCGAACAAGCCCTACAATTACCAACAAGGGAAGAAGCCACAAGGAGGCCCAAACTATCAAGGCCACTAATCCACTAGGAGACCTCCTCCTGTGCCTTATTACCTTTGCAACGGGAAGCATTGGACGAACAACTGTCCAACCCGAAAGAAAATAACTGCCCTCATCGCCAAAGGTCCCTTTAATACCAAGGGGAGGTCAAGACCTTTTTTAAAAAACACAACGACGTTAAAATGATTTACGCAGAAAAAGAAAAAAGAATTTTAGTATAGATAAGATAATCAATGGATTATATTGCAGACGTACCTCCAAACACACAACAGCCGCATATCGGGTATATTTCAATTTGGTGCGCATGGGGCTACTGGCACAAAGTGTCGTCGAGATCTGTCTTTTCGCACTTTGAATGAAATCGCGTCTCTTCCTTTTTAAAGTTTTAATTCGAGATGGAATGGATTGACTAGAAAAAGTTGTTTTGTTTTTCCTTTGTTTCGACTCCGGTTATGAGTCTTGCTGACGAAGCATTGATTGCTTCTTCTTGTTTTCTAGTCCTTATTTTGTCCTTTTTTTTTTTTTTTCTTCCACTTGGATGTTTTAGTCAAAATTCTACTCTACTAGTCTACTCTAACCACCAATCACTGATTCGCCGGCCTCTGTTTTGGGCCCACCACCACGGTACTACTCACCCTGATAGTGGACCGGACCGGACCGGGCTAGCATGGCCAAGAAGCCAAGATTTGTATACACCCAAGATTGAACCAACCACCCAAGGCGTGACCGGTTCGATCATCATTCGGGTAATCGGGTTCAATCATGCCAGATCCGATCTATGCTTATGTCGGCCTGTCCAAGTTTGAGTTGAGGCAGTTTTTGACTTTTTAACGCGCTTGGTGAGTGAGACATCTTCATCAGTGGTTGGTGGGAGGCTGCCAGCCGAGAACCCACTCTGACCCTAGGATCATCTTTTGGTCCCCATATATTGCACGAATGATGATGGATCCGCGTCACACCACGAATAGAAAACTGTTCCGTGGCAGGCGGTCTTTTTCTGGGGGTTTAACTGTCACAGCCGTTAAAGCTATTACATTGGTTGGACCATCAAGCATCGATTTCACGGAATTTTCTGTGGTTAACCTTGACGGATCGAAATTCTAGCCACGTGGCAACTAGTTGTTGGATTGTGGAAGAAGGAACCCACGATTATACGATTTCTTTCCTCACTCTTGTCGGCCGGTCCGACCAAAGATGGTTGGCGTGTGCAATGCGTGCCCGAGTCCCGTCCGGTTCGAATATTTGATGAGCTCAGAGTTCACGCTTATCGATACCACGATTCACGAATACCTCAAAATTCCTTCCCTCCAATCGTGACCTGGTTATATTTTACTTAAAAAAAACAAGGAAATAAATAAATAAATGGAAATTAATTTGACAATCTGTTTATTTCTCCATCCAGCCATCCATGGTCAGTTTCTTTCTTTCTTTCTTTCTAAAATCTCTGATCTCAGAAATCTTTTAGGCCATCCAGAGAAACGAGGTACGAACGAATGCACCTCCAATCAGTCAGTACTAGAAACGAGCGTCATCTTTCACTGCTGCTGCTGTTTGTTGTGAGTTATGACATCGCTCTCTCTGGAAGCTCTTCTCTCAGCCGTCCTCGATCTTTCCTATGCAGCTATTATTACTGAAGCATGATGTATCGTCGTCAATAATCAATGGCGCACATCGCGAGACACCACTGATCCGTTGGTCATCTATTGCATGCAGAAGAAGAAGCAGCGCCGGTCTTTATGTGGTCTGGTAAGAGCAGAGAACTGGGGTCGGGTGTTCTGGATGCATCTTGGGTGCCGGATAAATGCTTGTTCCCGGGGATCTAGGGTTTTCGTACCTGGTCCTGCTCCTCTTCTTCGTCTTCAGCCCCATCTTCGGCTTCGTAATTCGTCGGAAATGGACGATTGCGGTAGCCAGGCAGGAGGAGATCAGGAGACTCATGGAGTTGGCTTCCGAACAGGAAGCCAGGGCAGCTGTCGAGGCTGCTTTTGAGTACGGCACCGTTTCAGTTACTGTTCGTCAATCACAGTGTGCTGTTTGTTATCGCCCCACCACTACGCGCTGTGCTCGATGCAAGGCCGTCCGCTACTGGTATGTACACCCTTATTCTAATTGGAATCTATGGTTTTGGTTTAGGGTTTTCAGTTGGCTTGGTTGCTGGTGTAAATTCTGCCCGCACAATCGCGGAATTATGTGTTTGTATCAACTTGATACATCCATATAACTTCAATTGTGTTTAATGGGTAACAATTTGGTATTTAGACTGAATGGATAATTTGGGCAAACCGGCAAAATAGTTGGGGGCTTGTTTCAGAATGTAATTTAGGGAAGGTGGAAGCACAGTTGTTCTAGCTCTTTTTTATTGGGAAGGGCTGGAAAACTAATTCATTGTACACCCAACATTTTCTTTAGATCAAATGGAAGAAGTGGAATTTGATTGGAGAATGGATAAGGAACAATTGACATTGTAAATTTGGCATGTAGCTCCGAATATCAAGTAACCTGCTTTAGATTATCTTCTTAGTGGATCCACAGTATCAACCTACTGGAACCTATATAAAAGAAAATTCTTAAATATCTTAAAATTTCATAGCAATTAGCAAGGAGTGATAACTGATATATCCACCTGTAGAAGCATTACAGTTTTGATAAAGTCAACCAAGGTAATGAATTTATAAACATTAATGGGAAAAAATTCGTGAAATCCCTCAAAGGATAAAGAGGCTAGTTTTGGTCATGCTTTAATTAGTTAGGGCAACAAAATTTCCCTTTCTTGTGAACTTAGATTGCATGAACATGGTTTTGGAAGAATCCTTCAATATAGGATTGATTTCTAGAAGCTTCAGCATATCTTGTGCTATTTCTAGTATGATATTTTGAAGGTATCTATTAATTTATTATTATTTTTCAGGTTGCATCTTTCCTCACATTCTTTATTTTGTCCCCTTCTGTGGGACACAAATGACTGTATTATGTGCACCTCAATCCAATTTGTCCAGGAGTTGACTGGGCAGGCTGAAAAGAAAGGACCTGGGGATATGCGTGCAAAAATGTATTTGCTATTAATTTTTTTTTTTTTTTTTATCTCATAAGTTTTAACATCATATTACCTGTAAAGAGGGCATGAATTGATCTTTTTTGGTAAAAGCATAAGTTGATCTAAAAGTTAGTCTTAGGTAGCATATGCCAGATCTTCATCTATAACAAGGAGAAAAACGTGAACTATAAGAAATAATGTGCCTTAGGAATCCTTTGAGTGTTTGGAAAGTGGAGTGAGATGTGTGTCAATCATGGATTAGGCATCCATTTGGAGAGTGCATGTAATAATGAGGGTTTGAGTGCTATATTGGACATTTGGACCTTAGTGCCCCCATCCATGCTCTTTGGGTAGTATTCCTGCTCTGAGTGCACCGATTTACACTTGCATACAAAAATTTACAAAAGCGCAATGAAAATTTGTAGTGTGAATTCTAGGCAGTGGCAATCAATAATCATCTTTTCCCTAGCCTCCTCTTTTCTTCTCTATCTTCATGTAAGCAGCCAAGTACTAAGAAATAAAAAAAATTAAATGTACTCTCTCAGCTGTCCTATTTTTAGTTCGTCTCCTCTTCACTCTTTCTTCTGACATACATACACATTAAGAAAGAACCTATTTGAATATTTAATATCATATTATCATACACTTTTCCAAGTCCATGAACCAAAAGTAGTATCTTCCTCATTGCCCTTACATTATTTACTAAAGTTTTAAATAATTCTAGATATTTTAGGAAGATTTAAATCTATTATCTACTTTTATTGCTACTACTATCAACAAATTTGATGGTTTATATAAGTACATGTGCATAAATACATATACATGTTTTATGTATACCACACACACATTAACATAAATTGGTGCTCTAATCTGGTGGTATGCTTGCATTATCATTCCTTCTCTTGTTCTCATGCTGCACTCTAATCGCTTAGGATTGGATCCCTTCTTTAGATGGGTATTGAGGTCTACCAACCATATTGCAGGTACTGGTAGTTTATCTAGAAATTGCCAATCTACCATTTGTCTTTTTTGATACCCTAAGCTTTGCGCTGATCTCATTTTCATATCATATTACACTTTTTCTGTTCTGGAGAAAGATGGTTATACAGCAGTTAGGAGATATTTGGTTGGATGTCTTCCATTATATCAATCTGCAGTTGCATTTATTGTTTCTTTTTTTAGTACAAAAAAGTTTGAATTTCCTGAAGACAGGATTAGCATGGCCAACCACTGATAATTGGGATTAAGTCTTTGTTGAGTTGAGTTGATTTGATTTCTGAATTTCCAGGGATGGCAGGTTATAAGCTTCCCTGTATATAATGGGACTAGCATGCAACTTATTGTTGACACGCTACTGTAAACAAAACCTTTAGCTGTTTATTCTGGCCATGGATTCTTTGAGGGGTCTTTCTTTCTATACTTCACCTTTATTGTGCATTCTTGCAGTTCTGGGAAGTGTCAAATTATCCATTGGAGACAAGGTCACAAGGATGAATGTCATCCTCCATATGCTACTAGCCAGTTTAATAACGAGGGAACCAACTCTGGCCAAAAGGCAGTATTGCAAGGAGAACAGTGTAAATTTTCTGACAATACTGAGTTAGAAGACAGTTGTGGTGGTAAACCAGTTGAAACCTTATCTAAGGAACCTGCATCATCTAAATTTGTTTCCTGTTCAGAAGTTCCACGTGAGAAGCATGATAATAAAATTGAGCCACTTTTGGATGCCAAGAAAACATACATCACTTTTGAATCTTCCAGTGTATCATTGTTGTCTGACATTTCTGCATCCACTGGTGTGGATGAATCATCAGATGATATTTATGCTAGCAAGGTCCCTAGTTTAAATCCACCTGGCAGATCAGAAGCTCCTCAACCTGTTGATACCAGTTCTGCTAAGCTCAAGGCGACCACTGTTGTTGATGACAGTAAGCTAAATGAATCACCTCCTTTAGAGCTTAATAGTTTGGTTGGTTCTGAAGATAGCTTTTCTTGTTCAAGTAAATTAAAGCAGAGTAAATTGAGTTGTGATGATGAGGTCTACAGCACATCAACTAGTCCGTCATTTTCAAGTTCAAATGATTTTTCAAGTTCAAGCAATGGCTCTGATGAATCTACTACTTCTGAATCTTCTACATCCTCTTCTGATTTCTGGGAAGGAGCTCTAGACTCAAGTGGGTCTATAAATGATTTTTGTGATAATTGTACTCACTCAAGTGTAACTGAAGTTGGGGATATCATCTCGTCTGGTTCTAGTTCTTTACAATTTTCAGCTAACTGCTCTAGAAATAACATTCCTCCCTCAGTTTCACAACCTTCCAAATCCAAGGCTGATGTTGCTTCTGAGAAAAGCTTGAGGAATGAAATGCCATTTTATGGAGCTTCTGCTGTGGAGAAGATGGTTATAGATGTGCCTGGAAGAAGTAACCCCCCAGCCTTGATACCTGAAAAAGCAGATTCCAGGGCTAAAGAAAGGAGCAAAGACTCACATGTATTGAAGTCTTTAGGGAATAGATCTTTATCATCTGACATTTCTGATCTTCCATGTTCTCGCACTGGAGGGCATTTCGCAAAGTCCACAAAGGTTGATGGCATTCATGTAGCGCCTACTGCTGTATTAGAGGCTGCACATTCATCAAATGCTAGTAATGGCTTGAAAACATCTGTCAGTAAAGTTGTGCAGCAGTTTAGGGCCTCTAAAATTTCGATATACAATCCAATGGGGTTTGGAACTGAGAATGGTGGAAAACACAGCTGCAAGGTATTTCATAAACTCACGCCGTATTATTTCGAGCTCTTAAGGCCCCGTTTGGCATCAATTCTGGGGATTCTCATTCTCAGAATCCTTTTAGAAAAGAATGGATTCTGAGAATTTTCATCCTGAGAATCACCAGTCCTGTTTGGCACAGTCATTTGATTCTTGCTTCTCAGAAGCAGAATCGCGTTTGGCAGCCACCAATTTGTTTGAATCAATTCTTTGACCGTTTGATAGATTTAAAATCTATTGATCAGAAAATATTCATGGTGGATTTTTCATCATTTTTCCATCTTGCCATCTCTGCATGCTTGACTAAATGGATTTACTCAAATATTCAACTATCTATATTTATCTGTCCAACGGTCTGAGCAGAAAAGATGAATACTAAGTATGACTGATTAAAGAACTAGAATCTTTAAGTAGAATGGATTCAATATCATACTAAGGGGATTTTTCATCTCTTATTCAGTAGTTCATAAAATATTACACATCAGACACTCCAAATGAGGACTGCTGACCCCACAAAGTAATCCACCATTACAAACAGCCCCTTAATTGGGGCCATCATTTATGCTTTCAAAGAGTTACCAAAACCAATGGACCCAGAAAACTTAATGCAATGTTACCTCCCTTTTCTGATCAGCAATAAAGAAGTAATTCATTCTTTAAATTTAAGAAAAATACAGCAATAGGTTGTGGATACAAAAGAAAACATACACATTATAGATACAACCCATCATCCCTTTTACATTTGAGCCCAAAACATCCGCTGTCTATTCACCCCTTGTTTAGCCAATAATTTGCAGGCCTGCATACCCACCTGATTTGTAATTGCATATCTTTTGAAAACCATCTGAAAGTTCATTCCTGAAATTCCACACCACATTCTCAGCTGGCTTGTTGGTGTGTTAGCTTGGTCGTCCCAGCATTGACGCGGAATCAAATCCCACAACCAGCACTTTGGGAAAAAAAGGGGGCAACGGGGAAAGCCATTGCTAATTAATCAAAAAAAATCTTGTCAACCAGACTGATACACCCAGTTTTCATCTTAGAGCATCAAAAGAATCATGGACGTTGCACTATGTATATATGTAATTCTTTCATTTTTTTTATAGCTATGTGGCAAAAGTATAAGATCTGATTCTGGTCTCGCTTTACATTTTCTGATGTTCAGGTCAGAGAAAATAGAAAGCAGGACATGATTTAAATAAATCCACAAGTCGACTACCAAGTTGAAGTTACTTGCCTTCTTTCTGTAACTAGACTAAATGCAGCACATGTATACACAAAAATGGAAACAAAAAGGAAAATAAAATCAAGTAGTGAGGAAAATGAATCCATAGTTCAAATCTATGAAAAAAATACCTATAATAAATATCTCCACAAGAATAATGGTGATAAGAAAGAACCCATAGCTCCATGTATAAACAGAAATAACCAACTCAATCCAAAAGGGGTAGCGTATAAACAGAAGTCTGAGAACAAAGGCAGAGAAAAAAAGACAAAAAACAGAGAGAAACCGTGAGATCTTTCGGTGTTGTATTGATTGAAAGTGAAAAAAAAAGAAGGATGAGTAGTTTACCTGAGATCGTATGGGTTGCAGACGGCACCGTTGGAGAGTTGCAGAGATCTACACCCTTTCCTTGGAAATATTCTGGGAGCAATGACAGTAAGAGAAAGAGAGAAAAAAAAAGAACACAACTGGTGAGAATTTGGGGTAGTACAGATTAAAAGTGAAACGAAGAAGAAGGATGAGTTACCTGGTATCGCCTGTGTTGTAGAGAGACATTGGAGAAGAGAACCGTTGAGGGTCGGAGAAAAATGCGACTGGGATTAGGGCTTCTGTGTTTTGTATTGCATAATTACAAAAGTGCCCATGTTCACACGTGAAACATGGGCACTTGTGTTCGTTTTTAATTAAAGGACATAGCAAGAAACTTGAGGATGAGAATCACTCATCCCCAGAAACGTAAAAAGTGGATTCTTCGAATTGGCCATTCAGATGAGAAATTCCATCCAGAATTGGAGCCATTCTTCGGAATGAACGATCCCAAACACCATTCCGCTCCAAAGAAATGTGAGAATCGCCAGAAATGATTCTCCGGAGTGATGCCAAACGGGGCCTAATTTCCCAGGGCTCTTCTGATTTATTTCTTTTGATTGGTCGACTTTTTTTCTGACATTCTTTGCACTGATTCTGTTTTTGTTGTTACAGATGCTTTTTCCATATGAACAGTTTGCTAAACTCTATCATGTGGACAAGGTGGAGCTGTGCCCTTTTGGCCTCACAAACTGTGGGAACAGGTTAGTGAATTTCATTCACATTCATGACAATGTGAACATGATATTTGTTCAATTATATATGCAGTTCTATGGAGTGATTGCAATCATGTTTTCTGTTAAGGCATGTAAAGTTATTTTGATGTAGGATACATACTCAAAGATAGGTCTTCTATGACATAGGTTTTTAATGGGTCTAGAGACTAGGGCTTGAGGAAGAAAAGGAATCTCAAGGCTGCACACTTCAGTAGTTACAAAACAAATAACTTCATTTTTGTAGAATATACTAGCAAAGAAAAGAAAAGATAAAATATCCTTATATAGTGCCACCTCCTAATCCAACTGAATTCAACCACATGTGGGAGTGGACAGGTGAAGAATTTATTGCATAGTTTTCATTGCTCGTGTTTTTTATGGTGTGGTTTATCTATGTGGATGGTCTTTGTATCCCATGATTTTGAGGTCAGACATCCTATTCTTGGAAATGTGGTTGAGAGAGTTAGGTGGTTGGAAACATGACTAGCAGGGCGGTAGTTTTGGAGTGGGTTCGCATGGAGGGGCAATCAAAGAAGAGAATTCAAGTTAGAAAATTGAATGCTTGTTTTTTTCTCTTTATATTGAGCAGTAAGGAGGAAGCAGATGAGATTTTAGATTTAAAAGCTAATCAAATGAGGTTGCCAGAGCTAAGGTTGGACAGATGGAATCTTTTGGTTGGAGCAATATGAAAAGTGGGGGTAAGAAGGCTCGTTTGGATCAATATCTTTGGATGGGTGTGGGAGTTTCAGGAAAGTTGACCCTCGTACAAATAGGTGGAAAGAACCTGGTAATGGCACGGATTTTGGTTAAGATTGAGGAGATTCACTTGGTCCCATCGTCCATTGCATTGAACTCATTGGGGAGTGGTTTGACCTAAGGTTAGTGGTTAAGGATTGTCTTCAAATGTGTTGGCTTGAGGACTGCGGGGAGGGGGGGAGGAGAGTCAAAAAAGTTAGGGGTGGGAGTTCAAAGGTTGAAGATAAGGGCAAAATGGAAAATAAAAAGTGTAATTGTGCTGGGCTGGGTGGTTGTGTTGATGCTCATGTTGGGACGAATTTAATGCAATGGATGTAAAGAGATGTGATTGGGGTCAAGAGGCTAACTTGTAGGGGAGAATGGGAGATTTTGGTTTGGAGGCCTGTATTGAAAAGTGTGGCTTCTTAACAATTCCAAGCTTAGTGGGGATGGATCATGCGACATTCTGGCATCCTAAAAGGTAACATGAGCTCATTTGGTGTTGGGTTTTCGGTAGACCTTAATGGTGGTCTATCATCTTCTGTTTTGAAGTTGGTTGAAAACCCAGATGAGCTAGAGCTTTATGTAAGACTAAGGTCATTGAGTCCTCGTTATGTGATTGAGATGGTTTCGTATGGTGTATGGCAAAGTTCTTTTACACTGACAAGGAGATTCCTACAAGTATCAAGAGTGAGGAATCAGGATCTGGTATATGGGTAAGAAGGTTTTTGATGTTCAATCCAGAGTTGAAACATTCATAGCGGATAGGGATGGCAACAAGGTGGGTTTGGGGAGGGTTTTGTAAATTCTAGACCCTACCTGCCTCCCTAAACATCCCATCCCATACCTGCTCCAACACCCATAGCGGGTTGGATTTTGAGAATCCAAACCCTCCCTGCACATGAAAAAGCAAAACCCTTCCCGACGCTACCTTCCCTGCATTCAAGGGTAGGGTGGGTTGGGTTTGAAGGCATTATTTTTTTGCAAGAAACCTTTGAGAATAGAGTTAGCAAAATACCGAATCTGCTGCCCGGATATCGTTTAATCTGGATTTTATAGGTGGAAGGGAAGAAGGTGCAAAGAGGTTGGTAGGCGGAGAAGGGGGAGACGAGGTGGTGGTTGGAGGTGTTAAATACAATTGTGTGGCCTAAGTTGAAAGAGTAGGGAGAGAAGAAGGGTAAGGAGGAAAGAAGCTAGGTCGGGGGTGAGGATGAAAAAGTAGAGGGGGTTTGAAGTCAGAGTCAAGGAAGTAGGGGAAGAATCTGGGAGGAAAGTTGGTGAGGACAAGTTAGAGAGGTGAACACTGATAAAGGAAGGTTAGGTGGCTGAAATGCACAAGTTTTTAAAAGGAAAAGACGGTACAGGACCAAGCTTTCAGAAGAAGATGTTGGAGGTAGTTGTGAGTCTGATGATGAAGAGGGACAGTATCAAGAAGCATCAAGGAAGGCGTTCATGGAACTGGAGGAAAAGGATTGTGAGAGAGAAGGTTTTGGAGTTGGCAAGGAAAGCTGTTTTTCATAAGGTTGAAGATGAAAAATGTTTTTTCCAAGGGAAGATGACATAAAGAATGGAGAGTTTCTGCTTCTCAAACTTTTGAAAAGAGTGCAGTCTTGGAATTAGAAAGGTAAATGAGAGCTGTAAGGGCCAGAAAAATTATAAGTGGAATGTCAAGTCTGGGAGATGCAACAGGACCTAGACAGGAGGTTCTGGTTTCAAAAGTCTTTGCAAGGTTAAGAGGGGGTTTGTTTGGGTTAGGTCCTATCAGGAAGGTGAAGAAAACAAAGAAATTTCAGAAGGATAATAAAAAGGCGATTTTTCAATCTCTTGGTAGAGATGAGTAATTGGAGTTTTGGGGAGTGGTTCAGGTCTGTAAGGGTGTTGGCTGGGGTCTGGAGGGGGTTTGGGTTTTTTGATTTTAAGTAGTTGGTTTATTTGGTTTGTGATGTGTGTGTGGTTTTTTGGTTGAAGTGGGAGGTGTAAGTGGGTGATATTGGTTTGTTTCTTTTTCTCTTTTTATTTCTCTTCTTTCAGGTGACTGCTGGTCATCCTTCTTCTAATCTTCTTTTTATTTTTAATTTCGTCTTTACCTTCAAAGAAAAAGATCCTGCATGAAGGTTGAAGTGTCACTAATCTTGCAGCATAACAATATATAGATTATTTTGATTGATTACAATATCAAGATAATTTTATTGCTTAAAAAGAAGTGAAAAAAATAGGGAAGAACTGTTTTGGGCTCAGCTGTGATTTCTATAATTTATTCCTAGTTAACCTGTAAGTTTCTAGGAGGGTTTGCAGCTTGCGCCTCTCTGTGGGATGTTGTATGAAATCATGATTCTAAATCATTTTCTGAATTAATAAAATTATATATTGATAAAAAAAATTAATAAAATTATACTATTACTCATAAAAAAACAAAGAAGGAAAAATGTAAGCAGGAGCAAGAAATTAAAAGGAGAAAAGAGAAATCCATAGACCTTTAAAAACAGTAGCTAATAGATGTAAATCAGTCCTCAAATATTAGGTGTAAATTTGAAGATTAGAAGAAAAAGGAAGAAGAGAAGTAAGAGCAGCAACACAAGAGAAGAAGATGGCGAAAAGAGAAGGAAGAAGAATAAGAATCGAATTATCTTCCCTTTCTCCTCTAATTCTTTTTTTTTATTAAGAATTAAAGTTAGAGTAATGACAAGTATGCCCTTAAGTGGGCGGCCAGCTAGGCAGTAACATAAAAAGATTAAACAAAAAGAAATAACAGGCCCATTAAGAGAGGCCCATTAGCCAACAATAAAAGAAAAGATATTACAAGAGAAGATACTAGGACCCATTCGGCCCAGTCTCTTTACACTAATCTGGTAGGGCTGAGCTCCAATATAACTCCTACTTACCCCACTTCTGGACAAAGAGTCATCATAGTTAGTTTTATTATTATTTTTTAGTGTTATAGCATAAGGATAATGATATCAATCAGTAAATTAATGGTATCTAACTGATGATGCATGGTATCAGATCATACAGTTCCACTTTTGAAAGAGGAACTGAGAGTCCTAACCTTTTAAAAATCTTTTAAGAAGTTAACAAACTAACAAACTATAAGCTTAAGTAAATCTTAGACATGGCAAGAAGTGGAGAGACACTTTCAGGTGGTCATTAGCTGAATGAGGGACCACTGATCTTTCCATTTTCTTATTGTAGATGCTAGCTTCTAGCATGGATATCTTGTTCAGATGGATTCTTAAACAAGCCAACTCTTTAGCAGATAAGTCTGATCGGAGGAGCTGTAGAAAGGACTAGGAGTGATGCTTGGTTATTTTGCTGGGATAAAAATTCTTATACTTTATTTTATTTAGCTTAGCCAGTGGAGAAGTAGGAATAGATGAGTGGTTTTAGGGACCCTCTGTGTTGAGATAGCAATTCTTCTACCTACTTTTGTTGTTATTTTACTCCTTGAGATTGATGGCCTTGTCTTCCTATCTCTTGGAGGATCAGAGCATGGAATGGGGTCTCTAGAAGACAGGATTATGTGTAGATTTGGTCCCTTCCTTCCCATAGATCTGTTAAACAAAATTCCAATGGCTGATCCTTGAGAAATCTGGGGAGTTCATTGAAGGGATGAGAGATCCATCCTATGGACGCCCAAAGATTGCGGAATAAGGGGCGAATTTCAAAAATTT